GCAAAGCGAGTGCGTTTGAGCCCCGGGCGTTTCCCCCCCCACCGGTGGGCATTTTAGGGGTGAGAGTGTGGCACATGCGGACAAGCTAGGAAAACACCCAAGATGATGCCGCAGGAAAGAAGGAGGTGGGCTTCCTGGGCAATCATGGAGGGGCCCCAGGCCTGAGGCCGGCCGGCTCACCCAGGAGGCTGTGCAGGGACCGCTGGCTGGGGCTGGAGGCGAAGCCGCTGGTGGCCGAGAGAGACGGGGTGGCGCTGGACGGGGATGCCAACGAGCTGCTGGGGGAAGAGAGGCTGCTGCTGGCCTGGGGGAGGACAAGGACACACACACACACACACACTTTTGAAGACCTGCTGCCTTCCCTCCAGGCCCCAGGCCCCCCGTCTCCACCCCCACCGGCGCCTGTCCACTTACGCTTGTCTCCAGGTCCTTCGCGGGGTCCCCGTCAGCCCCTCCAGGAGGGGATTCTGGGGCCTGGCTCTGCTGGGGGGTGGGAGGAAGCCAGGGGGAGGTGAAGGCCTTGGTGGGCCGACCGGCTGGATGGAGGCTGACCTTCTCCACCTGGAGAAAGGACCAGGAGAAGGTGCTGAGCGAGAAAAGGAGTGGGGCAGGGGAGAGATACACCTCGCCCAGAAGACAGGGCAGGGCAGGATCAGGCCCCTTGGAGCAGCCAGTCAACCGAAGGGCCTGAAGGGCCCAGGGATGAGAAGGGGGAGACCGGGGACCTGAGAAGAGAGGCTTCGGAAGCAGCCGCTCAGCATCTGGCAGGATCTGGCCCCTGCAAGGCAGCCAAGACCCCCCCCAAAGAGGCTTCCAGAGGAGACGGAGAAAGAGGAAGAGCAGCGGCCATTCCCTCCCCCTTGCAGCACAGCTGGCAAAAGGGGGGTGGAGTGGGGGGAGTCCCACCGCCTGCCTGGCCTGCGTCCCCCTTGGGGGGGGCTCAGAGGTGTTCCAGAGGGGGGAGCCACCGGGTGGGCAGAGCTGGGCCGCGGCTGGGGGTGCTTAGAGGTCCCCAGGGGGGGAAGCAGGCTCACACTTGAAGGCCTGAAGGAGCTTTTTTAGACCTTGCGGGGGGGGTCAGGAGGGAGAGCCGGATCTCGCATCCAAGCCCCCCCCTCCATTCTCTCCCAGCCAGACTCACCTGGGGGTTGCCTCCGGCCCACCAGACCTGGGCAGAGGCTGCTGGGGTGTTGCCAGGACAGTCAGGGAACAAGTCTTTCTGGAACTCCTGCGTGGACTGCAAAAGACACGTGGCCCCCGTCAGTGGGGCCTCCCCACCGCTTGCCAGGCCACAGCGCTCCGCAGCCTCCCTTCCCCCCCCTCCCCACGTCCTCACCTTCCTGGGCACCACGTAGCTGACAGGGACGATGCTGCCCTCGGTCAGCTGCAAGAGCCGCATCACTTCGCAAGCCATGACGTCCAGCACCAGCTTCGGGACGGGAGCCACGCCGTGGGACGTGGTCTCCAAGAGGCACTGGTTGACTGGGCAGGAGCCAAGAGCAGAGCAAAGGGTGGCCGAGCGGCAACGCTTAAGAGGGAGGGGAGTAAAAAAAAAACCCCTCCTCATAGGGGCCAGCCCTCCCAACGGCTCCTCCCAGGTACCCCTCTCTGGGGCGCTCGGGGGGGGGTTCCTCCCCAGCCGGAAAGCAGGCGGGAAGAGCAGGGGTGGAAGCCCACAGCTCCCTGACTCCCAACAGGAGGGCCCACTTTGGCCCTCGCAGCCCGGGTGGTTTCAACTCCCCCCCCCCAAAAAAAAACAATCCAGAGCCATCGCCTCGGTCAGAGGCGTCTCCAGGGCTGGAAGGGGACGCCTTGCTCCCTCCCTGCGAGGGAGACGGGCGGCTGTGGAGGCTGCGGTGCCCTGGATCCCCCTGGCACAGAGGGAGCTTCCTTGCACCAAGCCGAGAACGCGCTCCCCCCCCCCAGCCCTCCCTCTGGCCCAGCCTGTTCCAGACCAGCCAGCAGGGACCCCTCTCCAAGGGCCTGGGGGAGCCCTCTCGGCCGGGGGACACCTCCGTGACCAAGGTAAGAGCCTCACCACTGAGCCCAGAACCCTTCCTGTTTTCTGCAGGCGGAGATGGGAGGGGCCAGCAGGTGGAGGGAAGGGGGGGAACCTGGGCAAAAGTAAGTTTCCCTGCAGGCCAAGAAAGAGCGGAGGGTGGGGTCCTTCTGGGAGGAGAGGGCTTGGGATTCCAGCTGGCAGGGGCTCACCTTCCATCAGAGCTGGCTGGCCGGCCATCACCACCTCGTAGCAGAACAGCACGTTCTCCCCCTGGAAGAGAAAGGGTCGCAGAGGGGGGTGGCAAGGGACAGCCTGGGGCGGGCAGGGGCCCCTTGCTCAGACACAGACAGCTATGGGTGGGTGGGGGGCAGCTGTGGCAGGACTTACCTTCCCTGCCAGGACGAGGAGACCGGTGCTGGGATCAAAGAGCGGGATCAGGGCCCTGCAAGGCAAGAGGGGGACACCGGAGATGGAGGGGGTCAAAAACCGCAACAGCTTTGCCCATCAGGAGCCCAGAAGGAAAACTCGCCCTCCTCTCCCACATGCACACATTCTGTCCCCATCTCCCTTCCTCCCATTTGGGGGGTGGGGTGGGTCGGTTCCTGTTTAATGCAACCTGCGCCCCCCCTCCGGGGTCCTGGTGGAAATCTGTCCTGCCCTCCCCTCGCCTTCCCATTTGACAGGCCCTGCTGAAGTTCTCAGCAGTCCAGCAAGGAAAAATAGGAAGGTTGGGGGAGGCAGACTCAGCCCCTCCTGAAAGCAGCAGCAGCAGCAGAAGCAGCAGAAGCAGCTGTTGCCGGTCTGAAGGGACCCACTGAGCTGGACGCAGGAAGGCCTGATTCTGTCTCCTGGAAGACCCCCAGGGGTCCTCCTTGGCCTGGCCTGGCCTTTTCTCCCCCCCTCCCCTCCCCTGCCAGTCCCCCTCCACCTCGTGGCTTCCAGGCAGGACTGTGAGAACCACCCGCCAGGCAGCACCCACTTCCCCCTTGGTTTATGGCTTCCCATGTCACGGGCCTGTCATAGATCACTCCCGGCTGGACGGGTTTATGGGCACCTCCTGGGTGCTCCCTGGGAACACCAGCCCCTCTTCACATCTGTTGGTCCCGCGGGAAGCTGGGTCTCCTCCCTGGCCCCGCTCCGCCCCTGCGCAGGTACCCTCAGGAGGCCAGGAGGGTCTGAGGCTCTCCTCAGCCCTGGAGGGGAAGGGGATCCCTTCCCACTGTCAGGGTTCTGGGGTTTTCCGGCTGGCTCTGTTTTTTTTTTTTTCCTTTCCCCCTCCTCAAAGAGAGAAGCCCCTCAGGAGACGTTCCACGGATGGGTGGCGCAAGGAGCGCCATCTCTGGAGGGAACTGGTCAGTGTGCAGCCCACGCATGGGCTCTGGGAGGGGGCATGAAAAGCCCATGCGTCCACACCGCCTCCCATTCAGCCTGATGGGACTGACTCAGGGCGCAGGTTCAGTATCTCCCTCTGACACCGAACACTGGCTCAGCCAGTCATGTCTATTTTTAGGTGCAAGCTTTTATTTGTATTCATTTATTCATTTCGGTTTGAGACACAGCTGATTTTGCAAGTCTTCCTTTGCTAGTCGTAAGCATTTTTTTACAGGATAAATATTGTGTTTTGATCTTGCATTTTGTTTCTATATACTCTGTTTTACTATTGTTGTAAACCACTTTGGATACAAGTAGTTTATAAACATTAGCAATGAAGTAAATTTGCAGGAAAGGGCCGGTCTGAGAGATAAAAGTAAGGAACAATTTTGAAAAAACAACAAACAGCAACCAAACAACAACCTGTTTCCTGAGCTTGGCGTATTGCTTGAAGGCCCAAGCCCGGCTGCGTCACTCTGGATCATGGCCACAGCCCTCCTCCCCAAACCAGCTCAGCCAGTCCTCCTTCAGGTGCCTCACTGCTGGAGGGCGTCGGAAGAAGCTCTTGGCGGCAGCACGCCCGGCCGGCAGCCGCATCATCCCGGCACAAGGCCTGGGTGTGGCCCTGGCATCTGGGCACCCACCTGTACACTGGTGGTGGTGGTGGTGGAGGCACCTGCCATGCCAGCCAGGGCCACCTGAGCCGTGTGGCACGGCTCTCCCTTGGCTAGGGCTGCTGGGGAGGCCAAGGCCTCCGAGGAGGGGAGCCTCGGTTCACGATCAATCCCACCCACGAATTTGGGAGCTGGGATAGTTCCTCTCCCCCCACCCGGTTCCGCTCTGTAGGTGCTCTTGAAGGAGGAGAGGAAGAAGGCACGGGGCCCCCTCCAGAGGGAATCAAAGTGGGGGGGGAAAGCTGTTGCTTGCTTTGTCCTGCCCCATCGGCTGCCTCATTTCCTCAAATTCAAGAGAGCCTCTGTGTCCATGGGCGTTGGCTGCGGCTGGTTCAGAGGGTCTCCACAGAGCAGCAGCCCCTCTCCAAACCCCCTTCCAAACCTTGGGATGGACAGAGGACCCAAGACCCTCACCCGACCACCACTTCGGGATTGGGGTCAGAGGCTGCCCCAGCCCCACAGCCATGGGCCAAGGGGGCCCGAGAGTCTCTCTCTCCCAGGAGGAAGCAGCAGGGAGCAGGCAGGCAACTGTGGCCTTGGCCCCCTTCCTGCTGGGCGGGGGGGGGAGGGGGCTTTCTCTTCTTTCAGAAGCAAGCAGAGTCAGCCCTGGCTTGTCCCTGAAGGGGGGGGGTGTCTCAGGGAGGGCCAGGGGCCTCCAGGTGGGGCCGGGGTCAAACCATCCGGGGCAAGACGCCCAAGGGTCCGGCTTTGCCTTGCCCTGCCGCCAGGAGGCCTCTTTCAAGGAGGACCCAGGTGGAGACAAGCTGCCCAAACAGGGGCAAAAGAGGGGGCAGGACGCACAAACTGGACCGGTCTCATTCCAGGAGGCGCTCGGGCCAAGCGGTCGGCTGGGGCAGAGAAGGTGCTTTCCTCCCTGCCTGCCCCCAGGTAAGCACAGGCCCCATCTCCTCCTCCGGGGGAGGCCCTGCCCCCTCTCTGGAGGGAGGCAGCCCCACATGGTGCAACCTGCTTGGCAAGAGAAGGAAAGGAAGGTGCTGCCAGGCAGAATGCCAGCCTCCCTTTCTCTCTGGCCCCAGTTCCTTGTTCCGTGTTTGACAAAAGGCACCTCCGCCTAGAGAAACTCTCTCTCTCTCTCTCACTCACTCACTCTTTCACTCACACACACACACACACACACACACACACACACAAAGAGAGAGAGAGAGAGATTGAGAGAGAGAGAGATCAGGGACGGAAACCCCCTGTCCTGCCAGGTGAACATCCGCAAAGGAGCCGAAGTCCCCCATCATCCTTCAGTTCATGAAGGCC